CCCACAACAGTAATTACACACTACAGAGTATAAGAGCGATAGCTAACCAGAAAAAGGACATGTAAAAATCAAAGAATTACCAACTGAAAAACAGTTGGTAGCAGTTACAGCTTTTTTACTTTGGGATAAAGGTTTTTTTTTAAATAAATAAAAGCCGATCACTGTAAGCACTCCAGTAAATGGTTTGTGTCAGCACTCCAACTGCAACATTTACAGGAGAGCTTGTTGAATTGAAAAATGACAGATTTACTGGCTGGATCACCAGGTTAAAATAAAGAAAGAAAGCCTAAAAAAAGACCAAATGCAGCCATTTCATCTAAGAATTGGTAAGCTGCTATATAATAAATATTTGCTATTTGGTTTAATATTACTTTAATAGCTGACTTGATCTATTTTCTGATATATACTTTAGAGTCTCACTTCCCTTTGTTGGAACCCCCAAACACAATTAAAATAATACTGTTGACTTTATGATTTCTCTGGTCGATTCTAAAAACTGCAAGATACATCTCTTTACCTTTAATAGGACAAAATCCTCTTCCTTCTCATTACTTGGATGGTTGCAAAATAACAGAAGCATATACTCCTGTGAACGATATAAGGAGGTGGATACCTATGGAAAAAACATGGGGTCAGTCTTTAATACCACACTGTCCAGTAAGGCTCTTTACATATACAGTAACTCTTTCCTTTTGGCCATGATGGCTATCAGGAAATCTAATTTCAAGGTGAGAAATTTTAATGACATGTATGTAATCGGCTCAAAAGCACACTTTCCAAGAGTTGACAAAACAAAAGATAGGTCCCAGAGTTGTATGGAAGGGTTATTACATGGATGTTTATTTGACAGGGCTATGAAAAAATAACTGAGCCAGGTATTGAACCAGACATACTGAAAATGCTGCCTCCTAAACTTTGGCTTAGTAGTGGAGAGGCCTTTGTTAGTACCACTCTGTAGAAAGTCCACATGCCAGTCTGCATTAGCTGATGAGGGCCAGGATTACTTAAATTTCCAAGTTTTTAGATAACTGGTCCTGGATACATTTTTCCTAATTTCATATTTCAATCTTTTTATTAAAATTGATCAAACATACAGACCAACAAATGAGAGATATGGAATTTCTAGGACAATATTCACATGTGGCACTGACATTGTACAGAAAGATTGAGGAATCGGACATAGCTTGCATGTATGGGACCAGGACGTTGCTCTGGTGTAATCTACAGATAAAGAGGATAAGATGCAACAATAGACAGAATTCCAGTACATATTTCACTGTGAAAAAATGATTAATCATGAGCATGACCAAACTGTAGTAACGTACTAAAGTTAGATACATCAAAAGGAAATGTTAGAAGCAAAAAGTATAAAAGAAGAATGAGAAAGAGAAAATGAGAAAAAGAGAACAAGAGAAAGAGTGAAGTAAATGAGGGCCAGCCATGGTCTCTCTAAGGGATGGAGAGGTATTGAATCCACAGATCCCAAGTTCTGTCGAATTTTGATGTATTGTTATTGAGAATTCAGGTGAGTTTGTCATTAACCATGATCCAATTTACTTTATTTTTAACATAGTCAAGTGGTATCACCAATACCAATATTTAGCAATAGTGATTCTTGAATCCAGGATCATGTAAAGGATCAATTTGGTTGATTTATTAGGGATTCCTGAGGGTAACTTTTGAAAAACAGCTATCTCTGGGGATCTATGGATATTCACTCCTGTGACGGAGTAAATAAAGTTAAACATTCGGATCCAAAATCTAGTCACCACAGGGCTTTTCCACCAAATATGACACATGGTTCCCTCCTGCCCACAGCGCTGAAAACAGGAAGGCGATGTAGTAGGATGTATTTTTGCAAGGTGTGTGTAGGACCAAGTACCATCGTAGAAGTGTTTTATAGTTAGATTCTATTAGTGTGGTATTAATAGAAATCTTGGACAGAGCTTAAGCAGTGTCTGCCAATCAGTTAGTTCTAGGGAGATATTTAAGTCCCGTTTCCAATGAAGCATATAAAGGAGCTTGGTTTTTGGATTAATAAGGGAAGTATATATAGAGGATATTCCACCTTTCAGCATACCAGTGGCTTGACGGGATAGTTCAAAGGAAGTGAGTGTTAGGGGTTCTTTCAACAATTTAAGTTTGGATTGTATAAAGGATGCAATTTGGTTATATCGAAAGGTCTCACTGGATGGAAGCTGGTGTATACCCCAAAAATGTTGTAGAGAGTACAGTCGATCCCCATCTAAATAATCCCCAATACGGAGAAGGCCCTTATTAATCCATCATTGAAATAAGGGCAGTGTAAGCCCAGGTATGAATTCAGAGTTAGAGTAGACAGGGTCGAAAGGGGTATGAGGAGAAGATAAAGATTTATTGATGCGCAGCCTGTCCCAGACGGCTAGGGAGTAAGATATTATAGAGCATAAAATGGGAGGATGTATTTGATTGGGAAGCCACATTAGAGAGCCAATGGAATAAGGATGACAAGACAGGGCTTCAATAATAATTGGGGTTTAGGACCTTTGGCTGTAGTGTAAGAGAGCGTGTTATTTGGGCCGCTTGAAAATAAGCCAGGAGGCTGGGAAGTCCTAAGCCGCCTGTCAGGGCTCCCAGGTATGACCAGAGGTGTGTGACTGAAGCAGGGAAACGCAGACCTCAGATAGTGTTAATAAATTATATTGTTTATAACATAACAGTACAAACATAAACGCAGTGCAATACTAAAACATAATACGGTGCAAACAAACCAAACCAAACCACCCAGGGATAACAGTATATACAAGCAAGCGTCGTCAGGCAGGCCGGGTCAATATCAATTGGGCAGGTAGGTACAGGGGGAGCAAGCGGAGAATGGTCGGGGTCACAGGCCAGGTTCAGCAGGTAGCAAGCAGCATAGTACAGAGGGTCAGGCAGAGGGATGGTCCGGGTCACAAGCCAGGGATCAGAACGGTAGCAAGCAGCGTAGTACAGAGGTCAGACAGAGGGATGGTCAGGGTCACAAGCCAGGATCAAAGCAGGAGAAGTCAGCAAAGGAACAGAAACAGGATGCAGGACAGATACAGGGCCCAGGACAAACACAACACCAAGGCAGAGTCTGCAAGTCTGGCCATCCCTTAAATACCCCCAGTATCATCAGTTCCAGGTGTTAGCTGGCTGAAAGGTTGAGTCTCTGATTGCTGGGAGCACCCGCTGGCCAGCCCTGGTACTGCAGATCAAAAGGCAGGTGAGTCCCACCATTGCTGGCCAGTCCATTCCTAACAGTACCCCCCCCCTCAAGGAGCGGCCTCAGGACGCTCCAAACAGTCCTAGCTGGGCAAAATGTTCCACCGCCCGGGTCTGGCAACTGGCGGGATATCAAAGACTGGCACACCGGGCAGGACTCCGGGCAGCGGCACACCGGGCTGGACTCCAGGCAGCGGCACACACGGGCAGAGGCACACCGGGCAGAGGCACATCGGGCAGAGGCACATCGGGCAGGACTCCGGGCAGAGGCACATCGGGCAGGACTCCGGGCAGAGGCACATCGGGCAGGACTCCGGGCAGAGGCACATCGGGCAGGACTCCGGGCAGAGGCACATCGGGCAGGACTCCGGGCAGAGGCACATCGGATTACCAGGCGAAGCAGCAGGCAGCGGGCCACCAGGCGGAGCAGCAGGCACCGGGCCCCCGGGCGGATCAGCAGGCACCGGGCCCCCGGGCGGGGCGACAGGCACCGGGCCCCCGGGCGGAGCGGCAGGCACCGGGCCCCCGGGCGGAGCGGCAGGCACCGGGCCCCCGGGCGGAGCGGCAGGCACCGGGCCCCCGGGCGGAGCGGCAGGCACCGGGCCCCCGGGCGGGGCGGCAGGCACCGGGCCCCCGGGCGGGGCGGCAGGCACCGGGCCCCCGGGCGGGGCGGCAGGCACCGGGCCCCCAAGCGGGGCGACGGGCACCGGGCCCCAAGCGGGGCGACGGGCATCGGGCCCCCAGGCGGGGCGACGGGCATCGGGCCCCCAGGCGGGGCGACGGGCATCGTGCCCCCAGGCGGGGCGACGGGCATCGTGCCCCCAGGCGGGGCGACAGGCATCGTGCCCCCAGGCGGAGCGGCGGGCGCCGGACCTCCAGATGGAGCGACAGGTCTCGGGCCCTCAGGCGGAGCGGCGGGCGCCGGACCCCCAGGAGGAGCGACAGGTCTCGGGCCCTCAGGCGGAGCGGCGGGCGCCGGACCCCCAGGTGGAGCGACAGGTCTCGGGCCCTCAGGCGGAGCGACAGGCGCCGGACCCCCAGGCGGAGCGACAGGTCTCGGGCCCTCAGGCGGAGCGGCGGGCGCCGGACCCCCAGGAGGAGCGACAGGTCTCGGGCCCTCAGGCGGAGCGGCGGGCGCCGGACCCCCAGATGGAGCGACAGGTCTCGGGCCCTCAGGCGGAGCGGCGGGCGCCGGACCCCCAGGTGGAGCGACAGGTCTCGGGCCCTCAGGCGGAGCGGCAGGCGCCGGACCCCCAGGCGGAGCGACAGGTCTCGGGCCCTCAGGCGGAGCGGCGGGCGCCGGACCCCCAGGCGGAGCGACAGGTCTCGGGCCCAGGCAGGCGGAGCGGCGGGCGCCGGACCCCCAGGAGGAGCGACAGGTCTCGGGCCCTCAGGCGGAGCGGCGGGGGCGCCGGACCCCCAGGAGGAGCGACAGGTCTCGGGCCTCAGGCGGAGCGGCGGGCGCCGGACCCCCAGATGGAGCGACAGGTCTCGGGCCCTCAGGCGGAGCGGCGGGCGCCGGACCCCCAGGTGGAGCGACAGGTCTCGCGGGCCCTCAGGCGGAGCGGCGGGCGCCGGACCCCCAGGAGGAGCGACAGGTCTCGGGCCCTCAAGCGGAGTGGCAGGTGCCGGACCCCCAGGCGGAGCGACAGGTCTCGGGCCCTCAGGCGGAGCGACAGGTCTCGGGCCCCCAGGCGGGGCGGCGGGCGCCGGATCCCCAGGCGGAGCGGCGGGCGCTGGACCCCCTAGCGGAGCGACAGGTCTCGGGCCCCCAGGCGGAGCGGCGGGCACCGAGACACCAGGCACGACAGTGGGCTCCGAGTCAACTGGTATGACCGCAGGCACTGGGTCAGACATTGGATGGTCTGGCTGGACAGCGGGCATCGGGTCACCAGGCATCAGGTCATTTGGCTCGACAGCGGGCACCACGTCATCTGGCAAGGCAGTGGGCTCCGAGTCAACTGGTATGACCGCGGGCACTGGGTCAGACATTGGATCGTCTGACTGGACAGCGGGCATCGGGTCACCAGGCATCAGGTCATTTGGCTCGACAGCGGGCACCGCGTCATCTGGCAAGGCAGTGGTCTCCGAGTCAACAGGCACGACAGTGGGCACCGGGTCATCAAGGTACCGGATTGTCTGGCTCGACAGCGGGCATCGGGTCATCAGGTATGACAGCGGACACTAGGTCACCAGGCATCAGGTCATTTGGCTTGCCAGCGGGCACCGCGTCATCTGGCAAGGCAGTGGGCACCGAGTCACCAGGTACGACAGCGGGCTCTGAGTCAATTGGCACGACAGCGGGCACCGGATCAGGTACCGGATCATCTGGATCAACAGCGGGCATCGAGTCAACTGGCCTAATAGGATCGTCAGGCTGGATCAGTTCATCATGCTGGGTAGAGAGGCATTAGGCCGAGTAGAGGCTTCAGGCCGAGTAGAGGCATCAGGCCGAGTAGAGGCATCAGGCCGAGTAGAGGCATCAGGCTGAAGAGAGGCATCAGGCCGAGTACAGGCATCAGGCCGCGTACAGGCATCAGGCCGCGTAGAGGCTTCAGGCCGCGTAGAGGCTTCAGGCCGCGTAGAGGCTTCAGGCTGAGGAGAGGCTTCAGGCCGCGTAGAGGCTTCAGGCCGAGTAGAGGCATCAGGCCGAGTAGAGGCATCAGGCCGAGTACAGGCATCAGGCCGAGTACAGGCATCAGGCCGAGTACAGGCATCAGGCCGAGTACAGGCATCAGGCCGAGTACAGGCATCAGGCCGAGTACAGGCATCAGGCCGAGTACAGGCATCAGGCCGAGTAGAGGCATCAGGCCGAGTAGAGGCATCAGGCTGCGTACAGGCATCAGTCTGAACCACGGAAGGCAGGCTCACCGGTTTGGATACTGGCAGGATGGTATTGGTTGGAAAGAATTTTCGCTTTTTTCTGGTTTTAACTACTGGAGCACTGCAAGTAAACGCAGGTCTGCAAACGAATGGAGCAGCTGGAGACAGAGAAGAACTGGAGGATGGAACAGGAGAGGGAGCAGTTGCTACAGAGGGCTTTTTTACAGGGTTAAAGGCAGGATAGGTGCAGCGAGTGGGAACAGGGTACTGACATGCGGTAGATAGCCAAGTATACTGGGCTGTAACTGGAGGAGCTGGTGGGAATACAGGAGTAGAGTTAGAAGCAGGACTGGGTCTTTGTAAGCTGACTGAGGCTGGGTGCAACAAATCTGTCCATGTCTGCAGTAGGGGTTGAACAAAGCTGAGCTTACACAAAGTCTGTCTGGTCAATGACTGCACTGCGTTTATACAATCTCTCAGTGTCTGTGGTGAACATGTGGAATAACGCTCCAGAAAGTAACCCACATCATCCTCTAATAACCACACCAGGGACTCTACCTGGTCTGCACTAAATGGTGGCAAAAATTCATCCCTGCATTCGGGGGAACCAGATGAAACCAACTCTGCACAAACCTCAATCAATGGCTGCACCTCAGAGAACACTGTGCCCTGATCTACTAGAACATGAGCGAGCCGTATACATTCTAGCAATTCATCCCGGGTATACTCCTTCAGAGTTTGATAAGCATACTCCCTGTCATCAAACACTAGCAGATATAATACTCAACCTCCTCAAGATCCATCCTTCCCATCAACAAGCCAAGATGGCTTCCCTGTGCAGCCACTTCTGGTCAGGATTGGCCTTGGTGTAATGTCAGGGCTCCCAGGTATGACCAGAGGTGTGTGACTGAAGCAGGGAAACGCAGACCTCAGATATGTTATAAACAATATAATTTTATTAACACTAACAGTACAAACATAAACGCAGTGCAATACTAAAACATAATACGGTGCAAACAAACCAAACCAAACCACCCACAGATAACAGTATATACAAGCAAGCGTCGTCAGGCAGGCCGGGTCAATATCAATTGGGCAGGTAGGTACAGGGGGAGCAAGCGGAGAATGGTCGGGGTCACAGGCCAGGTTCAGCAGGTAGCAAGCAGCATAGTACAGAGGGTCAGGCAGAGGGATGGTCCGGGTCACAAGCCAGGGATCAGAACAGGTAGCAAGCAGCGTAGTACAGAGGGTCAGACAGAGGGATGGTCAGGGTCACAAGCCAGGATCAGAGCAGGAGAAGTCAGCAAAGGAACAGAAACAGGATGCAGGACAGATACAGGGCCCAGGACAAACACAACACCAAGGCAGAGTCTGCAAGTCTGGCCATCCCTTAAATACCCCAGTATCATCAGTTCCAGGTGTTAGCTGGCTGAAAGGTTGAGTCTCTGATTGCTGGGAGCACCCGCTGGCCAGCCCTGGTACTGCAGATCAAAAGGCAGGTGAGTCCCACCATTGCTGGCCAGTCCATTCCTAACACCGCCATATGTTTTCGGAGAGTATAGTGTTGATCCTGGGGCGGTTATTACCCCCCACACAAAGCGAAGGACTTCAGATTGTAATCACAATAGTTCTCCTCTGGGAACTGCAATCGGTAGTGTATTTTTCCTAATTTTAAACAAGATGCTCATAACTCTTTCCTATAATACTTTGGCTAAAAGCAAGCTCCATTCAGGATCCATGCTGCCAGATTCAGGTTCCTTGCCTGGGAATGTTTCTGTAGAAGATCCTGAGAGGGAGAAAGAGTTGACATTCTTCTGAAGGTCATGCCCCTTTTAGGCATTACAGTGCTATTATTAGGACTCATGCTTGGTCAGAGTGAATCTTCCTGAGCACCCTATACAGAAGATGAGGCAGTAGAAAAGCATATACCAGACTGAAGGTCCAAGGGTGCCCTAAAGCATTTACTCCTGGTGCTTGATCCCCTGTGTTCAGAGAGAAAAATATTTTTGTCTTATTGTTTTTTTTTGAGGCAAATAAATCCACTGTTGATATTCCCAAATATTTTGAATACCTTCTGCTGAAGTTCCCACTCCCCCTGGTCTTCTTTCTTCATACTCAGAAAATCTGCTAGTTGATTCTTCTATTCTTTTATAAGGACTTCTGAAATGGATGCAAGGTTCCCCTCTGCCCACTGAAGTAAACAGTTTGCAAAGTTAATTTTTTGGATCTCAAGCCCCCCTGATGGGTTGTATAGGGAAAGGTTGTTATATTATCTGATAGCACTTGCACATGAGACCACCTTAACTGGTCTTAAAAATGCGTAATTGCTTATTGTACTGCTGTCAGTTTTCAGCTATTTGAAGAAGAAAATTACATCCTTTAGCTCTCCAGTATTACCTTTCCATCCATGTAGGTTCCCCATCCTCACGCACTTGTGTCCATGGTAATATGAACTGGTAATGAGCCCCAGAGTTGTCCAGAGTCTTTCTTCTTTTAGTGCAGCCTCTGATTTCTGCCACTGCAGGGAATTTTTCATATACCTGGGAAGGCAAACTGTCGCTTTCAAGTTCTATGCAGACTTGCTCCAATGCAGTCTGAGGAAAGATTGCAGAATCCTTCTGTGCAATTGTGTCCATTTTATGGCCATGATCTTCCTTACTGACACCTATTTGGTCAGGGACAAATCTTCCATAACTGACAGTGATGCCCTGTTTTCCTTGTGATTTAGAATATATTTTTGCAGAGAAATATCTATCGTGTAGCCCAAAGAAGGTATTGTAGAGATGGTATTAGGATAGACTTTTTCATGTTTGTTGTCCAACTCAAATTGTACAAGTCTGAAGTCTTCAGCAAGTTTGCTAGAACTAGAGCTTCTGTTTTGGGAACATTTTTTAAAATGTATCCATGTAGGGAATTATGTAGACTGTTGAATGAACTCTTGCATTCAAACGTTTTTATGTCTTATGCAACAATTGTGCGTGGCCCGAGGGTAGTCCAGATGGGAGCCTGGTACTGAAAATGGTGCATACCTTCTGCTTTTCTTATTGCAGTAATAAATAATTGGTTTATCAGCACATGGAGGTAAGCATGTTTTAAAGCTTGAGTTACCATGAAAGCTGCAGCTGTAGTGAGTTCTTTATTGTGAAAATGCTTTCCATTTTGAACTTCTTGTATTTGATGGATTTGTTGAGAAATTTCAGATTTAAGATCATTTGATGCTTGTCCAATAGTTTTTTCTTATCAGGATAATGTAGTAGTAGCCTGAGTCCTACTGAGAAAGAGGAACTGGAATGATTACCCACAAATGAAGTGAGTCTAATATGACCTTTGTCATGGCCGATCTTTTCTCTTCTTCTAGAGGAAAATGTTGTCACTAGTAAAATTAGTGGGACTCAAATTCTGGTTTTTAACCCAGTCTGACAATCTGCAAAATAAAAGGATTTGTACAAACGCCCTAATACCTGGGTGAGCAGGATGAGGAGTGATCGCATAAAAACCTGCGCGTAGTTCCTCCAGGCAACAGGTGCAGATGTCAGACGACAGTCCATGCATGCTATTGAGATGCTGTGCGGAATGCTCAGACTGGAGGATTGGGCAGAGTGGTGGCAACACTGATGGAACCACAGGAAACTTGCAGGTGCAGGGACAGCAAAGCCATATTCAAGGACTATAGGCAGAGTCAGCAACAACCTTGTATCAGAGGTACCAAATCAGAAGACAGAACCAGGATCAGAACCAAACTGGGATTAATTTAGGGGTAGCAAAAAAATCAAAAAACACCAAGGGAGCAGATGAAAACAGGACAAAAGCCAGGGGGGCAAACAGAAACAGTCCCCGACCCCATGTTAAATGAACTACAAGCTGCCCTTATGTTTCACAGGGAGATCTTCTGGCATGGGGCCAAAGCACTCAGTCTTCCCGACAGGGGCTATGGAATTTCAACAAAAGATACCCCCTGCCTGCTTTTC